GCATTATTATATCACATGTGTAACAGCGTGTTAAAACAAGATTTTAAATAACAAGATGCCATATATACTGCATTTCAAAAGAGGTTCAGTGGCACATGAAGATGTTTAATATGAGGTTTCTGATAACTGACCACCAACTCTCAAGCCATTATCATTTATAGTCTCTATTTAAAGACTGTAACAATGTTTTCAATTGATTTTTATGTGAGGAATAAAATGTTGAGCTAACTGAAAGATCTGCTACCTCACTGCTCCAAATTTGGGCCAGTTGTAGGCAACATCTGCATCAGGGAAGTGGGTATGATTTCTCTCTGCTGTTTTATTCATTATACTCCTTGTGCTATTTCTCTGTTTGTATTTTTGGCTTCTGACCCTTTGGGATTGATATATGTCCCTAGGATAGGGTTTGGAAAGTAGGACATACTTTTTGGCTTGTCCTGCTAGGGTGACTTGGCTGTCTATCTCTGGACTCCACAGAATTGTGGAGTTGATTCCAACTGATTTTGCAAAACTCATGTTAACATCTATTAGTTTAGGGCAATGGCAGACATTGCTCATTGGTTTTAACATTCTGGCTTTATAATCCTTCTTAGGAGAGATTCTGTAGCCCTTACTAAATAATTGGGGTGGCACAGGAATGAAATTTATTTACATACTGATTACCCTTCCTTGAGCTCCTCTTATGCTTGTATCAAAAATGTCATTGTGAATTACCACTTCTTCCATTTCCTCCAATCCTATTTGTCTTTTCGTGATAAGCTGAAAATTTTATGTGGTTGATGAAAGTGGCAGAGGTACATGCTTGGTAAATGTGTAGTTACTGGTTCAAATTCTAAGTATCTCAAGAAGTCCTCCCTGATCTACTGGCCAGCACATACACACTTATTAATGAGCTCTTCTTGCACAGGGATCCCTGTCTCTGTATTTTCATGCTGGAGGGACTTAGGCTAGTTACACATTTATGATCAGCATATGTAAAGATAACTCTTTTCCCAAATGCTACTGTAATCTCCTAGAGAACAGCAACAAAAGCTCATGGGTTTTTATATCCAGCATTGGTATATTGACAGTATTGGTACTGAACACACTCCACAGCATCTCTTCAGTGCAGGTCCCGTGGAAGGGAAGCATATATGATCTCTGTGATTATAGGTGTAGTGCAGAGACATGAGCTTCTGAGTCTTTCAGTGTGGTTGCTTTCAGTCCATGCTCACGGTAAAGACAAATCACACTGTTTTATTCTGTAAATAGATTCTGGATCACAAATGTTATAGAATTAAGATTTAACATTCTAATAAATGACCTGCTCAGGTTTCTGGATGTAAGCATGTGACTCAGTTTTTCTATTGAGTCAGCAGGGAATCCAGACGCTCTAACTCCATGTCCAGTACTTTTTCTAATTACTACTCCCAGGTTCTGTGCATCTATGTATCTCATGATTTCAAACTCATAGAACGTACTTCAGACTGTATATTGTTTGGGATGAGAGCTAAATAATCACCTGTCAGTTTTAACTCCTAGGACCCAAGGCCAACTTCTCACAATGTGATGGACAAATGCTACCGGCAGACTTTCTACAAACCAATTTTCTTTGGCTATTTTTTCATGGTAGAGAGTCTGCATCTTATGCACATTATTTCCCCCAAAGCCAGAAAAAAATTTTTTGTACCAGGAATTGAACTCAGGATCTTGCTCTTGCCAGGCAGGTACTTGTGCCACTGAGCTATATCCCCAATCCCAGAAAATTAAACGCGTTTCAAGAGTAACAGAATTCATAAAGAACCAAGCTTTCTACCTGCAGGAATGTGCCAATAGTAGAATCAACAAAATTCTTTTGGAACATAAAATAAGAGAAAAATAATACATCATCTTTTACTATAACTTCACATAGAGAATAGTCATAAATAAGAAGTTTATGGTTTGAACAGGGGTTCTTTCCATTGTTATGAAAATTGCGAAGAAAAGCATTGATAAGAAAGATTCAGTAAAAGAGAAGAAATTTATTGATGTCAAAAGGATGGAGATGTTCTTATTTCAGACTGTTTTCTCTAAGAAAAACAAAAAGATCCCAGTTAGAATAAAGTATTTGTTTTTGTAAAGTGTTTGAAGACTGCAGTTACTGAATATCTCAGGGGTCATGCAGCTTAGAGAAGTGCAGACATGTGATGTGTATGCTACATATGTGCCACTATACCTAGAGGTACTTAGACATTAAGCAGTCCAAACAATGTCAGAAATTCTTCAACAGCATCCTATCGAAGGATAAAAATTTAGGTGAGAGTTTCTTTGTGCC